TAAATGCAGGCTGGAGTGGAGATTTTGGCTTGCTTATTAACCAAAGTTAGAGACAATGTTAAATGAGATGTTTCAGAAGTGCTTTGTACAATGGAATAAAAGTATGACCTGCCGAGTTGAATGGGAAAATGTTCATTTAAAGAAATTTGGTCTGACATATACAGGGGCTTTAAAAAGTTCGTGGAAAGTATAATAAAAAGATAATGGATTTTTTCCGCAAATACTTTGAAGCTACCTCCTCCTATCGGTTTAAAAACCAGTCGCTACAGTTTACTTGTAACAAGGATTATCATTTTCCTTTAATCTCTCTCTCTCTCTCTTTGGTTTCTGAGAACCCTGATTTTTATTTACTTTAGATTCAGTTCAAAGCAGCAACTACCTTTTGAGTGACTGAGACCAAAATAAATTTTGGCTGAAAAAGTGGATACTTGCTATACTTCCTTCTCAAGCACTTTGAGGCTCATGCTGTTATATTTGATAGGTATTCCAGCTAACGAAATAAAGGCTTACTCCCTTAAGCAACAAAACTTTATATCTGAATGAACTAGGATAGATATATAAAACAAGTGACTATTGTAGCATTTTACTTAAACAGCAAATATTGAGCATACATATGCCTTTTTATTATGAGTTTGGCTCATAAGATAGAAGAATATCCCTAAAGCATATAAAACCCCCATTGTTTTTGGCATGCAAAAGGCAAGAACAGGGTGTTGTGAAAAATGAACAATCAGAGAATAAGGACACTGTCTGAGTAATTAAGATTGCATTGTTAAAGTAAATTTTGTAGAGTTATTTGAAGACAAAGCCAAAAAATTGCTCAAAAATAGATGAGACAAACTATAAGACCTTAAAGGATAAGGATCTATGTAGACATTCTCTATTTAGTTAATAGGAGTTCTTAAACATAAGCCAGAGAAAACATAAGGAGATAAATTATTAATGAAAAACGAAGGACATTTCTAAGAACAGATGCAAGGGAACTTCCAACGGTTTGACAACACCCGCAGAGTGAGTGGAGAAAGAATGATACCAAGTAATGTGCATAATTTCAGAACGCAAGGTTAAAAATTAGACTCTAAAATCTTCCTGAGAAGAAAAATTATATGGAAAGGGTCAGGAATGAGGATGGTGTTAGATTGTTTGATCGAAAACACTGAGCGGTAAATGACTGTGGAGCAATGTTACACTCCTCCAAACTGTCGGGTTTAAGATAGAACAAAGACACTGTCAGGCATGCGACTTCTCAAAGACATTTCTCTCTCAGGCAGCTTCACTCACGAAGATGTGCCCTGTGTAAACACGGAAGTGACCAGGGAGGGGAAGACTGGGTTGTCGGAAATGCTCCAACCCAGGAAGTCTCAGAGGAAGCGCCAGGATGAGGGCCTGAGGGGTGCAGGCCTGAGGGGTGGTGACCCCGACTGGACCGTCGGATGGGGGCTGCAGAAGGAAGACCAGGGGGAACAAGCGTAAATGGCACATGCCCTGATGTAGGAGCTGTTAAAACGCTTGTGGAAAAATGGAATTAAACCATAATGAGATTTTCCTTCAAACTTGTTGAAGTCCCCTTGGATTAATGGTGTGCAAAGTGAAATGAGATGGCTTTAGAAATGTGTTGGTGTTTGAAATTAGCGATATGTATATTTTCATATAAAAAGGTAAGCCAAAAAGAAATAAAAAAACATTGTTTCTAAGAAAAATATGTACTGAAATGGACAGGTATTCACAGTATGCCCTGGGTTCAGTGGTGAGCAATATTGACATGGCTTTGATAACATAACTCAGTGTAAAGAAAAGAAAAATCCTTAAAACCGAACTATAGACAGGATCATGATAAACAGAGAAAAGACTGAGGTTGTCAGAAGTTCATGTTACTTGAATCCACAATCAATGTACATGGAAGCAATACTCAGGAAATCAAACAACATGGCATTAGGTAAATCTGCGCAAGACCTCTTTAAATTACTAAAGAGCACAGAGTGTCGAAGGGATCAGGTATCAGGCATCAAAGAACAAAAAAAATAAAATCATGTGAATGAGGGGGAGTGCAGATTGGGGACCCAAGACCCATCTGTAGGCAACTGGACATCTTACAGAAGGGTCACGGGAGGAGACAACCAGTCAGGGTGCAGGGTAGCAATGATGAAATATACACCTTTCCTCTAGTTCCTAAATGCTTCCTCCTCCCCCACTATATGATCCCTATTCTACCTTACAAATCTGGCTAGACCAGAGGATGTACACTGGTACAGATAGAAACTGGAAACACAGGGAATCAGAACGAAGATCCCTTCAGGGCCAGTGCTGAGTGGCGATACTGGGAGGGTGGAAGGAAGGTGGGGTAGAAAGGGGGAACCAATTACAAAGATCTACATATAACCTCCTCCCTGGGGGACGGACAACAGAAAAGTGGGTGAAGGGAGACATCAGACAATGTAAGATATGACAAAATAATAATAATTTATAAATTATTGAGGGTTCATGAGGGAGGGGGGAGCAGGTAGGGAAGGGAAAAATGAGCTGATACCAAGGCTCAAGTAGAAAGCAAATGTTTTAAGAATGATGACGGCAACAAATGTACAAATGCACTTGACACAATGGATGTATGTATGGATTGTGATAAGAGTTGTACGAGCCCCCAATAAAATGACTTAAAAAAAGGCTTTGGTTACAATCAACATGTGATACAAAATTCTTTAAATATTTTATTGTCATGAACACAACATCAAAAGATAATCATAAGTATGATCGCTACAACTATAAAGGGAGGATCGGATGAGAAGGGCAAAGGGAACTTAATTGTCATGCACCTTAATGGGAATGAATAGTAATATCAAACATTTATGCCTCATGAAACAGTGAGGTATTGTTTTTAAACATGGAGGTAAGTATCAGGAGAAACAGCTAAAATAAGGTTATTTTCTGTAATGAGTGGGATTGGGGCAAGAGATGATTGTTTTATGTTTTTTTGCATTAAGGCATTTTCTTTAGCGAATAGAGACCTGCAGGAGAGACCTATAGGGGAGATACGCTATGGACAACAGTGCCTCTATAAGGACCTGCAGGGGAGATCAGCCATAGACAATAGCGTCTCCCCAGCCTTACAAAACAAGTGGTTTGTGTAGGGTTGTTATCCTAGTCAAGAATCAGTATGTGTTTCTTGAGGCAAGATTTCTGATTTGAGCAGTTTGTAGTGTCATGTGGGTTTGTATTTTTTAAACTAGTTTAATTGGTATTATACTTCACATATAATAAAATTTAATTTGTCAATCATATTAAGATTTGTGCAATCATCACGATCAATTTCAGAACACCTTCTCATACTCATTGTTAGTTCCCTATTTGCCCCCATCCTCCCCTGCCGTGCCCCTAGGCAGTTATCAATCCAGTTACTATCTGGACAGACCTACCTATCCCAGATTTCAGAAAACGTGGTGGTTGTTTGTCTGCAGCTATTGTCGTTCTGTTGACTTTTAAATGACTGTATGTGTGGGTTGTGTGATGGGCTGCTACTTTCAAGGTCAGCAGGAGGCAGTGAGACTTTCTACTCTGGTAAAGATTTACAGTCTCAGAAACCCACAGGGGTAGTTCTACTCTGTCCTGTAGAGACCCCAAGAGTGGGAGTTGACTCGCTGGCAGTGAGTTTAGAATGTTCTAGATGTGTTTTAAGGTGGTGGTGATGTGGGTTAGGCATTGGGCTGTTAACCTCAGGGCTGATGGTTCAAACCCAGAAGCCCTTTCCTCAAGAGAAAGATGAGCTTATCTTTCCCCATGAAGATTTACAACTTTTTAATTTTGTTTTATGATAGCATTCATTTTTAGAGAGCTCTGGAGGATGCTGGGAAAGCTTGCACACACATTGTAGGTGTGAGTGTCTGCGCACAGATGTATTTGGGTCATTTAGAAGGTTTGTTTTCCCTTTTACCCAGTGACTCAGGTCTTACCTGTGTTTTAATTGGATAAAGACATTCTCAAAAAATCAAACTCACTGCCACCAAGTCAATTCCAGTTCATAGTGTCCCCGTAGGACAGTACCCTGTGGATTTCCAAGGCTGTAATTCTTTTCAGGACTAGAAAGCCTCGTCTTTCTCCCACAGAGCACCTGGTGGTTTCGAACTGCCAACCTTGCTGTTAGCAGCCCAACCCATCGTAATCCACCATACCACCGGGGCTCCTTAGACGAGAGGCTTCAAACCAGAGCAAATCATAACCCCTAGACCACCAGAGATGAGGGCAGTCCTATTGAAAGTATTTTAGGAAGGCATTTCAGGGACAGTTGAGATACCTGATAACTAACTAAATGCAATTATACTTTAACACTGTGCCTGAATATGCAAATCCGTCCAGCCTGACTAAGGGACTTTCCCTAGTCGGCCTCTGCTCCCTTCAGTGGATATTGTAGAAGCGTGGCTGTGCAGTCACCCCTGTCTGCACAGGGTCGGGGCGGGGCTCACAGTGAATTCAAGACGTAGAAGCATGTCAGGTGACTTCTGGTTCAGTTGATCTTCACCCTCCCTGTCTCATCCTGGTCCGGAGAGTGAAGCATATAGAATTTGTTTCTTCATGATAGCTCACTCACAGTGACACTGTCTGTTTCCAAGACTGTAACTGTTTACTGGAGTAGAAAGCCGAGTCTTTCTTCCATGGAGTTGCTAGTGGTTCTGAACTGCTGACCATGTGGATTGCAGCCCGACACATAACCACGACACCCGCAGGGGCAATAAAAGCCCAGATAGCTTGGCAGGAAGAAGCTCAACCTGTAAAGGGCAGACCTAACTGAAGTCACAGGACCTTAAGTTTACAATCAAGAAAGGCCACTTTAAGAAGAAAGCGACCGTGGCAAACAGCTTTGTCCACCCTCAGAGACTTCCCTCCGCCTCACCGCCCCTAAGCCACTGCGCTTGTTTTGACGTTTACCTTCCAGGGTGGTGGGGCTATCAGAGGGCTTTCTCCTATTGTCTGTCACCCCATCTAAGTTTTTCCTTTCTCCACAGTGCGAGGTGAGGACAGAGGCACGCCGGAAGAATCTGCTCATTTTGATTTTACATTACTTAACACAAGAAGGGTACGTTATGTTCCAAATGGTGACGGGCGGTGCCTTTCCCGCTGGGCCCTCCGCCCTCTGAAGCCGCTTTTGCATGGACCTCTTCTGCAGGGTGCGCCTGCAGACCGTGTGCACAGGCCTGCTCAGGACGTGAGATACTGTCTCCCCTGGCCAGGTTGGAAGAGGGCAGAGGCCTTTGAAAGGAGCCTTTCCGGGGTCCCACTACCGCCAGCAAGTCTGATACTGACTCCTGGTGGCCCCCTGTGTGTCAGAGGGGAACTGGTCTCCGGATGGGTTTCAAAGGCTGGAGGTTTTTGGGGGGTGGGATGTAGAGTGTCATTCGCACCAGCCCAGGACAACATCAACTGTTATTACTCTTCAACATCCCTTCCTCAAACCCAGGGTATTGAGTTTTCTTAGAAAACCGACACCCAACTCTTTCTTTTCTGCAGTATTTCTTCAACAGCTGTCAGGGAGAGAATGTTTGAAAGCATCTGCCTTTAGCGCTGAACTCATTAAACTCAAACAAACAAGCATCCAGTCTCTCTGGAGAGGCTGCTCACATTGCTGGGTGTTTGGTGAGAGGACAAGCGCTGAGCCCCGGAGTGTGGGCAGGACCGGGGGGACTCCGGAGTTTCCTTTTCTCTCCAGGATCTAGCGGGAAAGAGAATAGTCAGGATTCAGGCCAAGGACTCTGATCTGGGGTTCTTAGAGAGAGAGAGAGAGTGTAGGGGGGAGTGAGGGTGTCTGGTTTTACCTCAAGATATTCGGCAGTGTCTGGAGACCTTTGTAGGATTGCTGAGTCCACGGTCAACTCGATGGTAGTGAGTTTGGTGGGGTTTTTCAAGACATTTTTGAGTTTCACAACTGGTATCCAGTGGGTAGAGGCTAGGCATGCCACCAAGCATCTTCTAGAGCAGGCGTCCTCAAACTATGGCCTGCGGGCCACATGCGGCCCGCTGAGGTCATGTACCCGGCCCGCCGGGTGTTTTTCCCCCTTTTGTTTTTTTACTTCAAAATAAGATATGTGCAGTGTGCATAGGAATTTGTTCATAGTTTTTTTTTTTAACTATAGTCCGTCCCACCAACGGGTCTGAGGGACAGTGAACTGGCCCCCTGTTTAAAAAGTTTGAGGGTCCCTGTTCTACAGCCTGACAGCTCTCCACAGCAGACTTCTTGGCCAGAAGTGTCAGTAGTGCTGAGGTGAAAGCAAGAGCCACCTTTGCCCAGCAGCCTGAGTGCCTCAGCACCTGTCACGGCAGTACGCAGCGCAGCACAGGGACCGTGGGAAGAAGGGAGCGGCTGTAGCAAGTCCTGTTTCAGAGCCAGGACCCCAGACCGGGGGAGAACTCTCTGCCATTGAGTCAGTGCCGACTCATAGGGACCCTATAGAGCAGCTTAGAACTGCCCCGCAGGTTTCCAAGACTGCAGCTCTTTACGGGAGTAGGAAACTCCGATGTTCTCGTGAGGAGCCGCTTGGTGGTTTAGAACTGCTGACCTTGCAGTTAGCAGCCCAGCTTGTAACCACTACACCACCAGGGCACAAAGGACAATGGTGAATGCAAAAGGACAAATAAAGATCAGCACCAACACTCCTTCTCTTGCGTTTGCCATTGTTGGAGCTGGAAGGATTTGCCGTATACGAACAGCGCCTGGTTCATGTCAGACTTACAACTCCTCCTACTCCTCCTCCTTTAATGTTAAAAATTTGCCCTTGATGTGAAATGATTAAACCAACTCCGGAGACCCCAACCAAAGCCACTCCTCTCCTGTTGATTCCAACTCATAGCGACCCTTCAGGTCAGAGTAGAGCTGCCTCATAGGGCCTCCAGGGCGGCCCATCTTTATGAAAGGACGTCTCATCTTTCTCATCATCATCTGCTGGGGTTCAAGCCACCAGCCTTTTGTCTCGCAGCTGAGCATTGGAACCACTGTGTCCCTGAGCTCCTTGCACCCACCCACTGTAGGAGCTTATTCCATCGCACAGTGACCCTACAAGACAGCGTGGAGCGGCTCCCTAGCATTTCCCAGACTAGTTCTCTATGGGAGTGGACAGCTTTATCTTTCTCCCACTCTAACTTGCAGCACATTCTTCATCACGGTCACCCCCACTTGCTGCACATGTAGCTTTTAATCATTGAAAAGGCTTCAGAGGGGTTTTTTTCACTGAAGTACGATTAAATGACAACGCACCCATTCTGACCTACCTACAAATTAATCTTCGAGATGAGTTAGGAACAGAAGTAATCATACCAGGAAGAGTACGTTCCCCCTTCCTGCCACTAGATGGCCCTTTGCATCTTGAGTCGATGATTATTCGGACTAGAGTTCATCATTTTCCTGGGACCTGCTGGGAAATAGATGAATGAGTGGACTATCAAAATGAAAAGTGAATTCTAGGTATTTTAAAAGACACATCACAGTGGAGAGAGAGCGAGAGAAATGTTATAGTCAAGAATGAAATATTCAACAAAGAACACAGAGGCTATAAATTGGCGTAAGAGAAAATGCCATACAGGTTAGTGAGCTGATCTTGAAAGCTGTGTAGACAGATGCACTGGATGAGGACGTCCCATGCGGAGGCACACAGCAGGAAGTGGGCCAGTGAGGTAAGCAGAAAGACCAGGGTCTGAATGTGTGAGGCAGGGGTGAGATCACCCCAGCGGTCCCAGGATGCAGTTCTCTTAGTGCTACATACTCACCTCCTCGGCCTGAGCGTCCATGCCATAGTCTATTGCCAGCCAACTAGTCCTGTCCTGTCACTCTGCTGATGGAGGTCCTTTCTTAGCAGCCGAGTGAAGTCCTTCACGTGGCTCAAGGTCACACCAGAGCAGTTTTCTTCAGGAAACGTGGAGCCTGCAATCACTTACCCTTTTTGGTTAATGTCAACGCCCTGTGTCCCTGGAGAGATGTCCAGAATATACCGTGATGTCAGTAGGACTACAAGAGAGACACACTGACCTCCCTTCTTCTGTTTTGTTTTGTTTTTTGTACTCTACAAGCGCACACATATGTGACTCTGCAAGGGTGAGTCAAGAAGTACCAGTACAAAACCGCAGCTGTCTTTATGAAAGAAAGGCGTCCAATTGCACAGCTGTTGTTCCTCAGCATGGCCTCCATCCAGCACGGCATACTTCTGAAGGCAGTTTTTCCATCTCTCTCACTTGTTTGACAGATTCTGCACTGTTGAAACGTGCAACGCTCAAACGGGCAGTTTCCCAACAATGAGAGTAGAGATACCAGGAGGTTTATGGGAGGGTGGGGGGAGAAAGTCAGTCAGTTTAGACTCAGGGTGACCCCATCTGCTCTTATGTCATAACAGAACTGTGCACCAGAGGTTTTTCTTTAAACTTTAATGAAGAATTAGATGACGGTGAGTATAACGAATCAGTTTCCCATTCAACAATTCTGACACATTTTTTTAAATTAAAAGAACATTTTATTGGGGGCTCTTACAGTTCTTTTAACAATCCATACATCAATTGTATGAAGCATATTTGTATATATGTTGCCATCATTATTTTCTAGACCATACTTTCAATTGAGCCCTTGTAATCAGCTCTTCTCCCCCCCCCCCATTTTAGACACATTTTGTTTCATATCACTGATTACAGTCCCCATAATGTAATATCACTTATCCACTAGCTCCTTGTGTTTCCTGTTTCCCTTCCTTCTTTCCTAAGTTTTCCTCACTTCTATATCTTCTTGGGAAAATACTGCCCTTTTGATCTCAAACGAGTCTCCAGAGGCATGTGTCCCTTGTAAAGACCTGTCTTTTGTTTGGCTGAAGATGGAGCTGTAGGGTAAGCCCAGTTCCAGACTGAAGGGTGATTAAGGGACATAGGCTCAAGGGTTCCACCAGTCTCCATCTGACTACTATGCCTATTTGTGATGTTGAGTTTTTGTGTTAGTCTGGGTAGACTAGAGAAACAAATCCAGGGAGACTCATATGTAGACAAGAAAGAACTTTAAATACAAGAGCAGTTGAATATTGAGAAAACATCTCAGCTCAGTCCAGATCAAGTCCATAAGTCCGATATTAGACCATATGTCCAATACCAATCTATAAAGTCCTCTTCAGACTCAAGAAACACATGCAATGACGCCGAGTGCAGGAAGATCACAGGCCAGTGGGTGGGAAGTCTTGTGGATCCAGTGTGTTGTAAGAATCTGAGCTCTGGCAGGGGTCTCCGCATGACTTGTTCAGCTCCAGAGGTCTGGCTCCATCAGCCTCTCTCCAAGTGTCTTCTCCACAGGAATGTCTCTCAGGGAGGGAGCCTGTGCCCCACCTTCAGTGAGCAATTTATCTCTTTGCCCTCCAATCAAACTGAGACCTATTGACAGGCTAAACTCCACCCCTTCACCCTTTAGTCTCTCTCAAATTGACAACAGATTATGTAACGAGCACAGTTTTGTACCATGTTTTCCTCTCACCTTCTAACGTGATCCCTGCAGAGAGGTCGGTGGAAGCCAGTGTTTTGATTGGACTTTTTTTTTTTTAAGGTACCCTAATGAGACTAAGACAAGTATATAATTGAGACAACGTGTCTGCAGCCTTTCACAGATTGCAGAGACACGTGTAAGCATGTTTTGTTTGGAGGAAACCCATACATGTGTGTAAACTGGAACCCTTGCAGCCTCATCTAGTCTAATCGTTTGGGAAAAATAGGGGGAAGATGGACAAAAGGTTAACAGTCGATATCTCTGGTGAAATTTTACTTTAGACTTACCTCTATGTTCTTTACCCTCCCCTAAAATGAACATGTATTACTCCATACTAAAGAAAAGTTATCATACATGCATCTATTTTTAAACGCTGATTTAGTTTTTCTGTTCTTGGGGATTAAGACATAGAATAAAAGAAGTCTGGTGAACCATTAATAAGTATAGCAACTAAGTACAGTCAATTGAGTATAGTGTGCAAGGTCTTTAAAATTAGCTTGGAAGAAACAAATATATTTCAAGGTCATTGGCAACAACCAGCCTCTTTTAAGAAAAGTTTTATCTTTCAACTGCCCTGAATATGGTGGCAAGGAAGAGGGTATAAATAAAGCAGGTTTCCTTCTCTTACCTGTTCAGATTCAAATCAAACAGAACTCTAACCTACATTAGGAATGCTTTCTTTTAAAGAATACTTTATCTTAGTTGTTACTGAAAATATGCACAGCAAAACAGAAACTATTTCCACACATTCTACCTGTACGACTTAGTGACGTTGATTGCATTCCTTGAATCATTCTTCTCCTTCATTTCTGAGTTGGTCCTTTTCTGTGAATGTAGATTAACTGCGCCCTAAGTTCCTATAGCAGCTCTGGTGGCACAGTGGGCTCCATGTTGGGCTGGTAACTACAGGGTCAGCAGTTCGAAACTACCAGCTGCTCCTTGGGAGAGAGATGAGCTTTCTGCTCCTGTGAAGATTTATAGCATCAGACACCCACAGGGGGCACTTTACTCTGCCAAAGGGCCATTTAAAAAAAATTATTTCATTGGGGGCTCTTACAACTCTTATAAACATCCATCCATCCATTGTGTTAAGCACATTTGTACATGTTGCCATCATCCTTTTCAAAACATTTTCTTTTTCCTTGAGGCCTTGGTATCAGCTCCTCATTTCCCCTCCCTCCCACCCTCATAAACTGTGGATAAATGATAAATTACTATTATTTTCATCTCTTACACCGTCTGTTGTCTCCCTTCACCCATGTTTCTGATGTTCGTCACTCCAAAGGGTCATTCTGAATTGAGATTGACTTCCCAGCACATACTGGGAACTAACATGCGAGCAGTTGCATGGTTTGAAAACAAAAATCATAGAAAACGTGCATTCTCTGTGTTCTAGTGCATCCAGACGTCATTTCTCTCCCCAGGTGAGTAGCAGTCCACTGTATGCATTTTGTTTCTGGATTCATCTGTTGATGGGTAATGGAGGGCTGCGTCTGACCTCCTCTGGCTCCCTATGGCCACAAGGCAGGGATCAGACAAGCCTCCATGTCCATCCTCCTTTACCCGCCCTGACACCAGTGCTTGTCATCCCACGCCACTCTGCCTCTGAGCTGAGTTGGAGAATTCATTGCAGTGGCCACACAGAACTCACAGACAAGACTCACAACTAAGGGGATTTATTAGGGATGTTAATACGTTACCACAAGTCAGAATTAGTAAGCAGTAAGGACACAGTCCTTACCCAGCCAGCAGCCAAGTCTCTCCAGTTCTTTGTCACAGCTGCATGGTCCCTCGGCCTTTGCCTCCATGGGCCGGGAAGCCAGCTGCCCTGTCACCCTGTCTCACAGTAGCATAGTCTCAGGCCAGATGAGGAGACGGGGCCTCGCAGCCTCGGTACTGCTCTCTGAGTCTCTGTGCCACCGGCTGTGATGTCTCCAGTCTCGGGGGCTTCCATCATTGCAGACACTCTTCCAAGGTCCTTGGGAATTTTTTCCTTCTCTTCTCTTCAAAGGTGGCTCATCCTTAAAGCCATGAACACTTAAAGTCATGGACACTAACCAATCCCCTCTATTAGTGTTACACACGGCCTGTTGGCACAATCACTTTGTGGGATCTACCGAGACTTGGGTAGAAGAGCCGTGGCAAGAAAGGTCACTCCACCACAGGTATTCCACATTTTGACCACTGTGAACAGTAGCCTTGCAGTAAATATTTGGAAGCATCTGGATCTCTGGTTCTAGTCTTTTGGGCGTAGGAGTAGAATTGCTGGCCGAATGTAACTCAATTTTGAGTGTCTAAGAACGGTCACACTATTTCCCACAGTGGTACAACGGGAATTCTTCATGCGAGGTTCTTGGGTGTGCTGGCATAACCCTGGTGGTATGAGGGTTAAGTACTCAACTGCTCGGGCAAAGGCTGGCAGCCTGAAACCGCCAGCTGCTCCCCGTGGGAAGCCTGGGGCAGCCGCCTTCTGTGGCGATCACAGCCTTGGACACTCTGTGGGCGGTTCCCTCTTGTCCTGCGGGGCCACCGTGAGTCAGCAGTGACCCAACAATTAGGAGCTTCGGCTGTGGGTGAGCTGGAGAGGGTGTGATGGGGGGGGACCCTGAAATTGTACACTTGTCTGTGCCTATTTGAAAATGTGGACTTTTTTTCCCCAGGAGAAAGTTCTTGGTTGTACAAGCAAATTAAGAACTAAAAATTAAGACCTGGAGAGCATTTGGTCTTAGCGAGGACTTTGTGATACAACCTCTTTTTTTAAAAAGCTGGGCAGCCTTATGACTGAACAAGTTGAAGACACTGGGCAGCGCCTCCCCGCACTACTGTCTAGTTTTATTATGTGACCGGTTACAAATCTAGCAGAAATCACACATCTGAGTAGATGGCGTCAAACTTCTGTGCTGCTGCCACCGATCAGTATGTCGTTGGCATTTCCTTCGAGCTCGTGGCAAAAGTGCTTTAGAATTGCCTCAACAATGGCAAATCTTGCCCTTTGGGGCTGATTTCCCCCCCAATTGTCAAGTGTGGCCTGAAATGATGGCTGATAAAGAAAGAGACAATTAAAATGGATAAACACCAGTTGGGGGCTGAAAATGAGTAAAGCTTAAAACACAAGATTTAGTTTCTTAGGTGATTTACTCATTTATGGGCGCACGACTGGAATAAGGAAGTGATTTCCAGAGGCAACAGTTTTGAACGGCAATAGTTAGAAGGTAGAGTTGACATACCTGTGGAGGGGCTCCTTGCTCCACGGGCAAACCTAATAAGGAGCTCTCTAAGTGTTCTGTTGCTAACTGAAAGGTTGGCATTGAAACTTACCCAGAGGCTTTGTGGGAAAAGACCAGTGATCAGCTTCTGTAAAGATCCACCCCCCACCCACCCCCGCTCCACCAAAGAACAAAACCACACTCACTGCCATCAAGTCAATTCTGACCCATAGTGACCCTACAGGACAGGGTAGAATGTCGCTGTGGGCTTCTGAGACTAACTCTTTATGGGAGTGCAAAGCCTTGTTTTTCTCCTGCACAGTGGCTGGTGGTTTTGAACTCTTGACCTTGTGGTTAATAGCCCAACTCATAACCACTATGCCACCAAGGCCTGGAAAAGCCTATGGAGCAGTTCTCCTGTATCAGCTGGGGCTATGTGAGGGTTGGGTAGTTGGGGCTACCCAACAACAACAAAATATATACCAGTTCTCGTCTATGTGATAAATAGAGGCTTATGTCTCATATGAGGTTTCTGGGAGTCAAGTTCAACTGGACGGCACACAGCGACAACTCTCTGTATAGTAACCCTCCTGGGCGCCTGTGATGCCTTGTCTGTCTTTACTCTTTCCCACACGTGTTTTTTTCTTCTGTGAAACTGCCAGATACATCGACTCGGCCAATGCTTTGGAACAAGAAACCAAACTGGGGTTACGGCGCTTTGAAGTTTGTGACAACGTTGATCTCGAAACCATTTTGATGGAATTTGAAAGCTATTATTTTGTAAAATTCCAGAGATACCCCAAAATTGTCAAAAAGGCATCGGACCCAGGTACTTGGCTGTTTTCTAGAAATAAGGCTTTATCAGCGTGTCTTTAAGATTAGTGTTTCTTCTTCCTCATCTTATTCCCACACAGATGGTGCCCACCCTCCACCCCCACCCCCACCCCCAGCCATTCTGAGCTCAACAGAAGACCAGAAGGATCATGTGGCCTCTCTTGGAGCCAGTGGGACAATTTAAACCACATCGCCTGGACACTGATGTCCCTTTGTCCATGTGGCATGTGTTTGAGGGATGTGTGTTTTGCAGCAATAGAGCGACCCCCCACCCCCCACCCCCGCCAGTGTACCACTGGAACTTTTTTTAAGGCCAGCGTGACTCCGGTTTCTTTTGAGATGGAAAGAGCTGTTGGGAGAGGATAAATGTCAGAAAACTTTCTCTAGTTCGGAAGGCCTATTATCTATCTTGAAAATAACATGAAAATGAGTATTGGTGAAGCTAATAGCTCATGTATAGATAATGAAATGCTTTTGAAAGCCATCAATCCGGATAATGATCAATATAATGCAAAGGCCCGGTATGGGTTAGCCGTCAAGGAGGCTGGCTCGAGAAAAGAGCTAAAGTGAGGGCCCTGTGTTTTGTCGTAACATTGACTTAGAAATCTGTAAGTGGGGGAAGTAATTATAAACCAAGGGAGATCATTGTCCTGTTTACAAGGCACTTGTTAAGCCACAGACTTTAACATTTCATGTAGGGACCAGGAAACCAAGAGGAACATTAATTTAAAATAGCCAGGGCCGAACCTGAGAGCTAAGGGGTCTGAGAGGCATTTTCATCTGAGCTCCCTGCCCACGCAGGGTTCAGAGCTGATTGGGAGACCAGGTCTTGGGAGAGAAAGTACTAATTCCCAGCCACAAGGCCACCAGGAATATCACTGATGTGGCCTGATCTAGTTTGGTACTCATACGCTCGCTTGCTCTTTGGACAACAATGGTTATATTTTAGGATAAACTGGTATAGACTGTGGCTGACACGCTCTCCCAGCTAGACTCTGGGTGGCTCATGCACCACAACAAAGTGGTGTCAAGTGAAGAGTTAAAGAAATGGCGGCTGTAAAGGGACCCTGTGTCATTGTTGCCACTAGGTCCTTGTTACTCGATGAGTTTGTATCTGAGGCCTTTGGGGTCTTTCCATATATGAAAGTGCTTGGCAAGCACATACTGGTCTCTTTCTCATAGCTGGTAATTGCATGCCTCGCTAGATGAGAATAGCTTAGAAGAGTGTTTGAGAACGGGTTATAGTAGGAAAATTTGAGAGCATTCGAAAAGAAACAAAACAAAACACACCTGACAATCATCCTTTTCCTCTCAACAACTAAGCTCTACCCTTTTTCTCCTTTTTGCTTTGTCACAGCAGAAAATAATTTGCCACAAAGAAGTGGAGGGAAGACCAGGAGGTTTACTGAATGGTAATTCCTCTTGACCAGCTCGACTCGGGGAGTCTGTGGGCGCCCCTTCCAGAAGACTTCCCAGTGCAGATCCACGAGTGTCTACCAGCTACCCCGGTCGTGGTCATGTATCCTCGGTGGGCCCAGCTGGCCATGACTTGGGTCAATATTTGTTGGTTCCCCTGGTTTTAGTGAAAAGCTTGCATGCAAGCAGTACTCTGCTTCCCGGGCCTCGCGATGTAAAAAATGTGGAGCTCAGAGGTAAACACGAAAGACTCAAGTTCCAGGCCTGGCTCTGCTACTTACAAGCTTGGAGCACATTTCTTGCACAGAGTGAGTTCTTAGCACATAGAGAACAGCCAAGAAATAGTATTCCCCCGGCCCTTCTTTTTGTTTTAATTTTATCTTTAACTTCTGTAGGCACTCCCACATCCCTTGTCCTCACATCTAAAGATATACCCTGAGCCAGAAGTTTCTAGGCCATTCTTCTACCTTCCTGAAGGCTGTTGGCCAGCCTTTTCTTATACTCCATCTCATTTGGAACTTGTAGCATCTGTCTCTGGACCATTCTGGGTGGACACAGTGTCCTACAAGGACCCCCATCTTGGCTTCGGTGCCCCACGCTCTTCCTTTCTTCTCAGTCTCAGCACACATCCCTGCCATCCCAGCCCTTTTAGGACTTCACAGGAAAGTGAGGAGCCTGCCCCTGCAGAGCAGTCGCCCAGCTTCGGGCATCAGGGTCTGGATGACATTTTGCTATTTTAATCAAGTCTACACTCAGCTTCAGAGAAGCTGCATTATATGAAGAAGAACGTGGCATCAGAGTTGGAGGAAGGCTTATTGACAACATGCGATATGCAGATGACACAACCTTGCTTGCTGAAAGTGAGGAGGATTTGAAGCACTTGCCGATGAAGATCAAGGATTGCTGCCTTCAGTATGGATTACAACTCAAATGTCAAGAAAATCAAAATCCTCACAAGTGGACCAGTAAGCAATACCATGATAAACGGAGTGATGATTGAAGTTGTTAAGGATTTCTTCTTACTTGGATCCACCATCGACGCTCATGGAGGCAGCAGCCAAGCGATCCAATGATGGGTTGCATTGGGCAAATCTGCTGCCCAAGACGTCTTTAAGTGTTGAAGAGCAAGGAGTTTTCTTTGGGGTCTAGGGTGCTTCTGGCCAAAGCCATGGCATTTTCAGTGGCCTCCTATGCAGGTGAAAGTTGGACGTTGAATAAGGCAGACCGAAGAAGAATTGTGGTGCTGGTGAAGATTATTGAAAATACCATGGACTACAAAAAGGGCAAACAAATCTGCTTTGGAAGAAGTAAGGCCAGAGTGCTCCTTAAAGGTGAGGATGTTAAGACTGTCTTTCCTACTTTGGACATGTCAGGAGAGACTAATCCCTGGAGAAGGACATCATGCTTGGTAGAGTGGCGGGGCAGTACGAAAGAGGAAGATCTTCGATGAGATTGATTGACACCGTGGCTGCAACAATGGGTGCAAACATAGGAACCATTATGAGGATGGGGCAGGACTGGGCAGTGTTTCGTTCTGTTGTACAGAGGGTCACTATGGGTCAGAACCGACTCACTAACTCGATGGCATCTAACAACAATAGCAACAGCACCCAGGAGAGTAAAATTGAGAACCATACAACCATTCAGGCAGTAAACAACAATAAGCATTTTTTTTACAAGGCTATTGAAAGAAGGTCTCAGATTGTGATTGTAAACAATTTATCAGGCTCTCAAGAGGTATGAGCTCCCTGATTTTGACTACAGCTTGGGATGGCAGGCCAGGGACACCTGGCAGGGCTGTTTGCATCACGGGTCAGCATGGTGGTGGCGCTTCTGCATGCCTGGTGATAATACGCAGAAGCCTCTGCCTAGGGCGAGCTAGCTTGTGCTCTTCTTTGGGAACGGCTTTATTGTTTCCATAAAGCTAGTCAGGCTCCTGTAATAAATGTTAACTACTTGAGCTTATTTCTATTGAAGAGCGTTTTAAGAGCTTGTCTCTGGAATGTGTTTGGATTTTGATTCTCTTTCACCCACACATTCGTGCCTGGAACTTGCTCAGCATCCTGTTGGCGAAGACTGTTGGAGCACCTTCTTTGGGGGTGGGTGGGGGGTGTGGAGGATGGTAGCACATTTGACAGCTCGGGGTTACTCCAGCTTCTCTCTGGGTAGATGTGTGTACATGGCAAGCAGGAAGGATAATTAGGAAAGTCATGAAAGATGTTTTTACTTATAATTTTATACTCTGTGGTAGTTACATAATTTTCATGTCAACGTGAAAATATGAAAGTGTAGAGGTGGAGTCTAGTTTGTCAATCAGGTCACAGCCTGATGGTATCTCCCAGTGGGCGTGGCCTTCTCATAAGGAGGATCCTGGGAATTTCCTCTCTCTCTCTCTGCATTCACCTTCCTGTCGATGAGCTGCCAGAGTTCGTGATGTTGCCACCACCACCATTGGATCCACAAGACTTTGCACCCACTGGCACATGTTCCTGCATTCTGCACCATTGCATGTGGCTTCATGAGTCTGAAGAGGGATTTATGGACAAGTATCAGACTTAAGGATTTTATTTGGATTGGGCTGGAATGTTTGCTTGATATATAATTACTCCTTGGTATAAAACTCTTTCTATCTATCTATCTATCTATCTATCTATCTATCTATCTATCTATCTATACATACACATATATATCCCTGGATTTGTTTCTCTAGTCAACCTGGCTTAACACACACTCCAAGATAGTAACTGAATTGAGAGACTGGATATTAGCAAATGACACTGGATATTAACAAATGTAGCATCTTGTCCTCATTCCTGCATCTCCTCCCCGAGAGCCAGTTTCCTGTTGGTAAATTGGTAGATGAGCCAAAGATGGAAAGATTAGCTATTGGGTGACTGACAGAATCAGGCTTCTAAAATATTTTGACAATTTGGGAGATGATAATGGGATGAAATTTCATGGACTAAGGGTTAAGCTTTCTATTTGTTTCCAAGGGCCATATTGGTAACAAAGTGCCATAAACCATGTAGACTTAAAGCCACAGAAGCTAATCCTTTCCCAGTTCTGGAGGCTAGATGTTTGACATCAAGGTGCTGTCAGGGTCATGCGCTTTCTCTGAAGGTTCTAGGGAAGGGTCCTTCCTAACTTTGCATCTACCAGCCTCAGGGACTCCTCGCCTTGTGGCAGCATGGCTCAGCTGTCTGCTCCGTCTTCACGTGGCTTCTTTCCTGTGTCTCTTCTCTTCCTATAAGGTGCCTGCCAGTTAGATTGGCAGAGGGCCCACCTACTCTTAGTATGACCTCATGTTAAATTAACTAATGACATCTGCAAAGGTGTAATTAATAAGGGCACATCACAGGTAGTGGGGCCCAAGTACATGGACGTATATTTCTGGGGGACATGAACCAACCCATAACAAACTCTAACCAAAGACTCACAACACATCATCCCTCATTGCAAGGTTAGAGACCTAGAGTTTTGAATTAAATGAAGGTACAGGATGGTCATAGTGTAATGTAACTGCAAACGCAGCTTTAGGTTTTGTCAGCAGAAAGGTTAGGTGCTGTCAGTGTCTTTTGACTCAAAGCAACCTTCTGCACAGCACAGTGAAACACTGCCCGGTCCTGTGACCTCCTCACAACTGTTCTGATGTGTGAGGCCGCTTCTGCACCCCTGTGTCAATCCATCTTGTCGAAGGTCTTCCTCCTTTGGCTGCCCCACCACTTCTCCAGGGACGGCTCTCTCCTGACATGTCCAGAGTATGTGAGACGAAGTCTTGCCATCCGTGCCTCTAAATAAAATGTCCAAAAAGTAATAGATCAGAATATTGGTGAGCTATAATCTGGTCCAAAGAATAGTGGGCAAAGGGAAGGTGACCAGGATGAGGAAGAATCTGGAAGCCAGGTAATTGTAGGAATGAGCAATTGGAGATGTTTAGCTGGAAGGACAGAAGTCTTGGGGACAGAGCCCAATCTTAGAGAAACCAAGTGGAGAGAGTGGATGGACTGGGTCAAAGATGGACAAGATGGGTGGAGGGTACAGATAGACGGCCCTGCGGGGTAGCATTTGCATATGCTTTAGGAATTACCCAAGCCCTCCTTTCAGTGTGCTGCATGAGTTGTTTATCTCCAATCAAATGGTTAGGACCGTTCCTCCAAGATCTTTGTTCCCTTTCTAGGATGACAAGCGACAGTTGTCAAAATCTCCCCAAGATCAGTCAGCAGAGATCAAGGCCCAAAAGCACAACGGGGAAGACAGGGGACATCAGACCTCTCAACAAGGAACATCCCAAACAGGTCAGGATGGCCTTGCGTGACATTGGGTGTATCAAGTTGACCGAGAAGTAATACAAAGAAGAAAAGCCAAGTTGATTAATTTTTCAAGGACTTATATTTTTAAAAATTACTCTGTGATTTAATTATGTCGTAGATTTTTCTGCCAACACAGGAAAATCCCTACTGCTTTCTAATATGAGTGGGAGGACGCCCTCTCCTGCCGCCTTCTCCCTGATCTGAGTACTTGAGGCAGAACCTGAGCGCATCCCTCATGGAATAAGTGTAGGTGGTAGGTCTTCCCGTCTTGAAGCCTATGTGAGTGTTTCACTGGCTCCTTAAGGCAGTGGTTCGCAACCTTCCTCATGCCGCGACCCTTTCATCCAGTTCCTCGTGGTGGTGACCCCCCAGCCATAAATTATTTTCGTTGCTACTTCATCACTGTCCTTTTGATGCTGTTATGAATCAGGCGACCCCTGTGAAAGGGTCCTTCCACCCCCCACAGGGGACGTGACTCACAGGTTGAGAACAGCTGCCCTCAGTGAAGGCCAGAGATGGTCTCAAGTGGGCTGTGCCTCTGAATCTCCAAGGAGCTTCTTCAGAGCTCACACGGCCAGTCTCCACCCAGACTGCCGCAGTACACACGAGGCCCTCCATTTACAGAACTGGTATCCAGGATTTGATTTTTGGATGGTGGAATCATGACAGCTAGTATCTCTGGGTTGCTTTCCACACTGGCTTCTGACTATCTCCTTCTTTCATCAGGAGCTTGTCAATAATAGCCATGTGGAGGGTGATAACTTTGGCTTAAATATCTCAGGAATCAGCAAAGGAAGTGGCGAAGAAAAAGCCCACCCACGAAGGGTAAGTATACGTCGTGAATGGCACCCAAGGAGGGGGTGTATATTTCTTTTTTAAATAATAATTTAAAAAAGAATGCTATTTGAGTCAAGCAGGAACAAGTCAAATATGTGATGATCAAAGGTGGGCTCCGAGTATGGGGGAAAGCTCTGGATAAGGCTCTGGAAACTGGGGTTCACCCCGGAATCGTCTTTGCAGGGCCCTGGGACACACTGTTTACGCATTGAGCTGCGACCTGAAAGGTCAGCAGTTTGAAACCACCGGCCTCTCGGTGGAGAAGATGGGGCTTTCTCCGGCCGCACTCACAGTCTGTCCTGTCCTGGGAGCCCCGTGAGCTGGCATGGACCCGAGGGCAGAGAGCTTGGTTTGGTTTTCTGCTTGTTTGTTTTTGGTCTGGAGTGAACTGCTTCATCTCTGGCAACCTGCTCCTCATTTGTCAAGTGAGAGCTTTGGGAGAGTCACCTTCTAAGGTTTTTCCAGCTTAAAACTTGGCGGTGGAAGTGATAAACCTTGACGTGGCTGTCCTGCAGTTTGTAATGAGCGTGTCCTCGCCTCCTCCTTTCCGCCTGTCAGTCAGTGACAGTTGATTAGTGGCATCGTCTTTCTCCTTGGAGGTAGGACTCCAGGCTTAAATGTAATTTCATGTGAACCATAAAACCTCAGCTCATAGAGTACCAATCCTGCCCTCCATAGATATATGTGCCCCTTTCCTAACGCAGCTCCTGTCAGAATACCCAAGTAATACTTTCTCTAATAGGAAAGCCCCTGACTGGGCGACAGAGAGGGCCACACATGCCATTCGGAGATGAAATACATGCCACATCACCCAGTGTTTTTCCCTTGATTGTAATCTCCGGGCTTGTGTTGCTTCCATCATCCCCAGCCCCTGTCAGATCAAGTTCTCAACTGCCCGACTGCTGAATCAGCGCTGGCCAGCCCCTCCCAGTCCAGCGAGCTCTGTGTGTCTGAGTTTGTAGAGGGGGCTGGGAGCATCTCCCTGAACATCAAGGAATGCTACCTCTTTGGCTTAGATTGACTACCCCACGGGCCTCAATAGAGTGAGTACCTGGTGGCTCAGACGTTAACCAAAAGGTTGACCATTCCGAACTCAACCAGAGGTGCTTGGGAAGAAACGCCTGGTGATGCAGTCTTGAGACCCCTCTGAAGCACAGGGCTACACTGAGGGCGGGCCATGATTTGGACTCGTGGGCTACTGGTTTTGTTTTTGAGGTGTTCTAGGACTCAATCATATAGGTGAAAGCTGGGGAGCATAGCCTTTACATGAATGCCTTCCACGGAGAAATGGTTTCTTGTTCACCATTTGTACCTTTATTGTGCCTGGCAATTCTGTGCCTGCAATTCTGTGACACTAGTTTCTCTCTTGAACGCCTCCCACTGACGAGATTTTTCTGATTGGGTCAAGTCTTATTTGCTGTTGCTCTAATAGAAATATCACAAATGGATGTCTTTAACGAACACATTTTATTCTTTCACAGTTTGGGAGACGAGAAGTCAGAACTCAGGGCATTGACTCTAGAGGGAAATTTTCACTGTCCGTTCAAAGGTCAGGAAAGTCCTTAATCCCACTCAGCTACTGTGGGCCCAGCTTTTTCTCCCTGGGTCCAGGAGGTTCTCTGCACAAGGACGCTGGGTCCACAGGATGTCCTCCACTCCCAGCTTTTCTGTTTTGGTGGTAGTCAGGCTCTTTCTCTGGTCCCTTCTGTCTCCCTTTATCTCCTAAAAGGTGATGTAGGCCACCCCCCAGGCAAACCCTCCTTACATTGGATCAAACTGTGTCCTGAGTGAGGGTGTTACATCCTTCCTTAATCCTGCTTCACTAACATCACACACATTAAATAGTTCTCCTTAACAGAACTAATCCTATGATATGCAAACAATACAACCTTGCTTGCTGAAAGTGAGGCGGACTTGAAGCACTTGCTGATGAAAATCAATGTCTGCAGCCTTCAGTGTGGATTACAACTCGATGTCAAGAAAACCAAACCCCTCGCAGCTGGACCAGTAAGTAATATTATGATAAATCATCCTGATCAATGGAGAAAAGATTGAAGCTGTCAAGGGTTTTGTCTTGCTTGGATCCGTAATCAATGCTCATGGAAGCAGCAGTCAAGAGATCAAAGGACACATCGTGTTGGGTAAATCTGCTGCACAAGACCTCTTTAAAGTTTTGAAAAACAAAGCCAGGATGTTTTCTATTGTGTCACATGCATGTGACAGCTGGACATTGAGGAAGAGAGACCAAAGAAGAATCAAAGCCTTTGAACTATGGTTTTGGAGAAAGTACCATGGACTGCCAAAAGAACAAACAAGCCTGTCCTGGAAGAAGTACAACCAGAAGGCTCCCTAGAAGCAAGAACAGCGAGGCTTTATCTCGTGTGCTTTGGACATATTGCCAGGTGGGGCCAGTCCCTGGCGCAGGACATCATGTTTGGTAAAGTACAGGAAGACCCTTGATGAGATGGATGGACACAGTGGCTGCCACAATGGGCTCAAGCATAACTGAGGATGGTGCAGGACGGGGTGTTTCATTCCATACATAGGGCTGCTGTGGTTTTGAACCGATTTCATGGTGCCTCACAACAACGATAATAACAACAGTCCCGCCTTATTAACACATAGGGGTCAGAATTTACTACACAACACAAATGGATAATAATGACATCAGCTCACATCAAAGGTGATGATTACATAACCATCAAAACACTTGAGAATCATGGCTCAGCCAGCATGACACATATTTGGAGGGGACACAATTCAATGTTTGACAGATGACAAGGGAGGGACTATTTGAACCCATCGTTTAACCTTCGAAAGAGTTTGGCTATCGATCTTTGTTCCAGCTGAACTGTCCTCAGGGTAAAATGTAAATAGTTTTCTCCCAGGGATTTGCAATGTTCTTAGGATGAGTGAAGATGTATGGCCGTAGGCCAGTCTCTGAAATGTCTGTCGTTGCCATGTTACGGACCCTCGTTTCAGACTTCCTCAGCCCTCTGCAAACATCTTAGGCATTTTGTTCTTAAGGCATAATCTTTGGAGTCATCCTGTCTAGGTTCAAATTCTTGCTCAGTTGCTTCTCAGCTATGTAACCTTGGACACGACTTAATTTTTCCAGGTCTCATTTCTCTTATCTATAAAGCAGAAATCATTCGTGCCTGCTTTAAGCCTCATAGTGAGTGGAGCATGCCTCCCACCAAACCCAACTCATTTAGACGGAGTCGATTCAGATGCACCGTGGTGGCATAGTGGGTTATGGGTTGAACTGCTAGCCCAAGGGCAAGACTGCCGGCTGCTCTGCAGGAGAAAGATGAGGCTTTCTCTAGAAGATTTCCAGCCTTAGAAATGCGGGGGGCAGCTCTATTCTATCGTACAGGGTCTCTCTGAGTCAGAATGAACTCGATGGCAGTGAGTTTCTGAGTTCTGTGACCCCTTAGGATAGAGTAGGCCTGCCCCATAGGGCTTCCAAGGATGGAGCAGACTGGCCCAGCTTTCGCCTTGCATGCGGGGAACAGCAACGTTGGTTTTTATTCTTATTGTTTTACATGTTGTTCCCATCCCTTTTTCCTGAGGGTAGACAAGATGGTGGTGAGAGGGCTTGGGAGACTCATACCTAGGTTGGAACCCTTGATCTGTGTTAGCTGTGTGATCCTGTGCAGACCCCTTCCCTTCCCTGGGCCTTCCATCCACATGAATATGGGCTGTTACTAACAGAGGCCTTGGGAGAATTAAAAAGAACTGTCACACAGCTCCTTGCACACCCATTGTGTGCCAGGCACTCTCCAGAGTGTTGAAGGGAGATTAGAGTCAAAACAAGCTCTCACTTACTTCTGTCCCACGGGGAATGTTTCCAAATGGCGAGACTGTATAGGGGAGGCAGGCATATAAGGAAGCGATTGGCATGTATCAGAAGCAGAAAGATGCCTGCGAATATTTATTAAAATTCACTTCTTTCTGGAGAATTGATTTATCGTTTTTTTGAGAGTGCTCTAACTTGAGGAAATCATCTTATTTCACACGAGTGCAGGTGATGAGTAGAGCTTACCTTGGTTCAGTTTCCCAAAGAGCATCCACGCATCTTAATCTCATGAAGCGGTTCAGCATAGTTTCCCTTCCCGTTTTAATGGCATAAATAACCACTATTCCCTCCCAGGGTCAAATCATTGACTTCCGAGGACTGCTCACCGATGCGATCAAAGGAGCAACGAGCGAACTAGCCTTGAACAGCTTCGACTGTAACCCGGACCCCTCAGTAAGTGGCTACGGCATGACATTCATCTCTCAGTCTGTCAAAACCCAGACCAACTTTTAGAAACAGCCTTGGGGGCCCAGGGAAGCCTTGAGATGGAGTCAAAAGGGCACAGCCCCCATTCGCTTCTGGGCTCCCTTCTCCTCCCTCAATCATGCCGCCGGTGTAACAGGAAGCCTTTTCCTCCTCCCGCCAGGAACGGCTGCTGAAGCCCCTGAGTGCGTTCATTGGCACCAACAGTGAGCTGCGCGAGTTGGCGGCCGTGGTGAGCCGGGTAAGGCCTGATGCTCGATTCACCAATTCATGGAGGCGGACGGGGGCTCCTGGAGCACTGCCGGCGGCTGCTGCTTTTATTAATAACAATAAATATGATCATTTATTCATAAAGTGTCCCCACTAGCGGAGGCACTCATATTGTTTAGAGGCACAATAATGCCTGATAAATAAATTATACAATCATAAAATTACAATATAAAAAGCCCACCATCTCACGACAGAGGGCCAAGAAAACCAACCGTGAAAGGACTTCGCCAGGAAGGGGCAGGTGAAAGGTTTCAGAGCACAGCCAAGCTCACGGCAAGAGAGTCTCTAGGCAAGGGAGAGGGGCCGTCCGTGTCTCATTTGAAAAAAAAAAATTCTAAGCCTCAGTGTCCGATAAATCCATCACTGAAAACTTCTGCAGAAAGTAGAGGTTTTACCATCCAAACCAAACCGAACCACTGCCAGTCTGCCAATACTGACTCACAGCGACCCTGCAGGACAAAGCAGAACTGCCCCTGTGGGTTTCTGAGACCGAAACTCTTTACTGGAGTAGAAAGCCTCCTCTTTCTCCCCAGAGGGTGTTGGTTTCGAACTGCTGACCTTGCAATTAGTCGCCCAACAGGTACCCTACTATGCTGCCTCTTTCTAGCTGCATGGCTTTGGGGGCTAGTTCCTTGGGATGGCCGGTTCCTGGGTTACGAGGTCCTTCTAATCCCTGGCCACCTCCCGAGGAGCCCTGGTGGCCTAGTGGTTCCTGAGCCATCAGAGGACTGAGACCCAGGCAGGCGCAGAGAGATGGCTAAAGCCGCCCACAGAGTGCACAGCCGCTCTGGGGTGTGTCTGGGTGAGAGGGGGCCTGAGATGATTCCATCTAGAATTCTTTCTCCAGGGCCCTGGGAGGGGGTCATTCGGTCTCCCATCAGATGCTGACAGAGACCAGAGCGCACCACCTCACAAGGCAGACCTAATAGACCCAGTGAACTTTGACAGATCACACTGCATTGATCAAAGGAGCAATTTCTGCGGCAAAATTCACACCACCATGTAGAACTGTCTCAACTCTTGAAGAGGGCAAGCAAAGCAGCTATTCTCCACAGGTGCCTTGGTATCCGAGGTAGATGGATTCTTCTAGAGTGAGAAGCTGTGCCCCAAAAGGGGCAGTAGTGAGGAAGGGCGTGGTTAGAGTTAGGTTTTAAAGACAGGATGGACTCACCCAAGATTTTGGAGGGTGGGCTCCTGTCTGCATGGGTCCAGGAAGTCATTAATTGTGCGTCAAACCGCTTGTATGAATAATTTCTTTAATAAAAGAGGCTTCTTAGGATGAAAGGAACTGGTGGGGTGGGGTGGAGGGACACCAGTGGGAACAGAGCTTCTCATCAGTATGTGCTTGAACATGAAAGAAAGAAAGCACTTCTAGATTGTTCCATAGTCATGCAGGACAGAATGATTTTGGAAAGAAGCCTTTGTGTGGTTGTGTTTGATGTAACACTCTAGGTACAAAACAGCTGATCCCGGGAAGGGCCCCTGAGTGACTGTTCTGGGGCTTCTTGTGAAATTGAAGTTTGGAAACTGTCAATTAGTTATCAGTAAAGGCGATTTTAATCGATTACCTGTGATGGTTGCTACAGGGCTCTACTCTAGGAGGGGAAACAGCACTTTTGCTGGGTTGTCGGCTTCCTTGAATTTTGTAGAAGCAATTGCTCCTGATGGGAGAAGGGAACGACCGACCACTAGGGAAAGAGAGAAATTGGTTTTAGAAGAGCATTATCTCTTTTATGTAACAAATTAAGAAAGAGTTTGCAAGACCAAGAAGCGCTTGCGACGAGAGAGATATAGAGATAGAGACAGACAAGACAGACAGAGAACAGGTTCTGGCTAGGAACTATATTTCCCAGTAAAAGGCAATGTAATTTGAAGGCATATTCTGTAACTTCTTTGATTAGGGCAATAAATCAGCTTGGTTTGCTATTGACTGAAGACAGGTACAGTCCATTGTTAGGAGATTCCCCTCCCCCCCCCTTTCAGAGTGCCATATTATGTTATCAATCGCCTCTTCAGGGGAAAAAAATCATTGAATATTTTCATAGCATCCCTTTGGTGAACTAACTCAAAATTATAATGTGTATATGTGCACAGATATAATACGAGGTTTTTTATCACCAGCACTTTATGTCCTACTATAAGTCAAGTGTTTTGCTGCTCCTGTGTTTATTACAGCGGGGAGGAAAACATTAGTTTTAACAAAATGATCAAATGTGCATTGCAGGACATTTATCTCCATAATCCAAACATAAAGTGGAATGACATTATTGGACTCGATGCAGCCAAGCAGTTAGTCAAAGAAGCTGTTGTGTATCCTATAAGGGTAAGGATGGGAAGTCTCTGGGGGTTATTTCTGTTCATTATCCATTGGATAAGCCATGTGTCATCGACCCATCAGGACAGGAAGGATGATCTTTCTGGCCACAAGTTAACTTTTTGCCTGTGTCAAAACCCTATGTCAGCACTGGAGCCTTGAGACTCAATTCATTCTAGGCAATTTAAAACCATGTTAAGCCTTGGTTTCAGGCAGGTCTGCTCTAAGTGATAATTTCAGATTTTAGTTTATAATGTGTATGATTTGTCAGTTACGATAGATTGTTTCAATTAGCCTGCTTTTCTGAAAATAAACTTATTATAATAGAAATACCTCCCTTTAAAAAAAAAAAGAAGAATATCTCATTGAAACTCTCATAGAAGAAGACCACTCATTTTGTGTCTGTAGACCTCCCATCTCTACGATCTTGGGGAACTGCCTTAGGCTGTGTGTGTGGACTAGACCGCTCCTTCTAGGACAGTGGCCAGCAGAGCCAGTATGCTGCTCTCGTTGTCTCCTCCTGATGAGTCTCTGTGAGGAGTGGTTCGCTAAATAGGTAGAAAAGTAGGCAAACCAATAACAAAACCCCAAACGTCTCCATGTTTGGTTTACAAATATAATAATGAGAAGATGAATATATCACTTAGTGTTTGCTACATAACGGAGTCCCCAAAACTTAGTCTTCCAACAACAATTCAATTTGCTTTTAATTCTGTGGGTAATTTGGGCTGGGCTCAGCTGGGC